GACAGGTGAGTTACTTGCCAGACTTGAAGAGTCCACAGTTGAGAATTCTGAAAAATCTGAGTTCCTACGGGAGGGTGATGATAGCAGCACTGTGACAGTGAATCTTGAAAGAACGAGTGTTTCTGGTTTGGGAAAACTCAACAATCCCGGTCGTCTCTGCAGCTTATCAATAAGTGATTGTGAAAGTTTTGAGTGCTTACCAGAAAGGTTGCTGTCTACCTCCACTCTTAAGACTCTGTGGATATCAGGTTGTGATAATCTCAAGTTTCTGCCCAATGGAATGTACAATTGCACGTCTCTCCAAGAATTAGGTATAGGAAATTGGCCAGGTATAGCATCCATTGCAGGGGGAGGTTTACCGCCGAATCTTAAAAAGCTTGTGATCGGTTGTGAGGGCTTGAAGCAGTCAACGTTAGAATGGAGGCTTGACATGCTTACGTCTCTTGAGAAACTTGAGATTCGCGGGATATGTCCTCCGGATGATTGGCTTCCCACTTACCTAAAAACTCTTACAATAGGAAAAGTGAGTAATCTGGAATCCATATCTAAAGGGCTCCTCCAAAACCTTGCTTCTCTTCGAGAGTTGAGATTTGTTGATTGCCCGAATCTCAAGAACTTGCCAGAGGAAGGTCTGCCTCCCTCGTTGGAAGTGTTCGAGATCCAAGACTGTCCACTTCTAGGACAACGGTGCTTGAAGGAAAAAGGAGACTATTGGCCCCTTATATCCAACATTCAGAAAACAGAAATATGGGACACACTCAGGTACAAGAATATCCTACCACATGCTCAGCATGTTCATCTTAATTTGAACATAGAAACTTGTTACTACTATTTCCCTGTTTAGCAAATTAATATATCATTGTTAATTTAAGATAAAGTGAGAGGCTTTGTTGCTTCTCTTTTATTTTGGAATAGCCTTAATTTTCGTATCAATTCTTTCATCTGTTCTTTCAGTTCTAAGGTGTATGCTTGATCTCACTTTCAGTGCATTTTTCTTTATGAATTTTGTAAGATGCTGACATTATGTTTTTCAAGTTTATTGAGGTGAAATGTGCACAATCGCGCACTGGTTTCCATTTTTTCTGCATCATATCAGTTTACTTTTTAGTAATCAAAACTAGTTCTGCTGAAGATTCACTTGTATATTTCATATTTAGACCATGAAGGAATCACTTTTTGCTCTACTACATTTCTTCTATATTTGAACTTGAACTCATTAAGGCATAGAGGCTAATGATTTGGCTTTTGCTTGTGTTTATTTGTTTTCTTTGCTTCCCATGATCTGTAGTTCTTGGTGAGGAAGAGCATGAAGATACCTGGAGGTTTAAACATTGGTGGAATCAGTGAATTTGAGCAAATTTTGGAGCTGAATCTAATTTGGAACTGATGGACGTTGATACCGTAGATGCTGGCTCAAGCAGAATGTAGAAAATGCATAAGAGAGAGGAGTTGCAGTCTTAAATTAGTGCCAAATGCACAAGCTTATGATACTATTTATGATGGTTTGTTATTTGAAAAACATTTGACAAAGTTGATTGTTGGAAGCTGGATTCTTTTTCTTCTTAAACCTAATATGATGACACCACTGTCTCTAAAAACACAAAGGCCATGGAGCTTTTATGGCTTCCTACTAATTTGGCTCATTTTTATTCTTTTGATATAGTTTGGCTTGTGATGTTTCCAGATTATTGGCATCTTCCCACTACTAGTAATGTTCACGGGTAAATTTTGAGCATTGGCCCTTCCTAGTGTCCGTTTCCTGTGACAGCTTACAGAAATGGACCTAGAAATGCCAGAGACATTTGCAATTTTCTATAATTGAAATCATGCTGCCATTAACCATAAAAAAAGTATACAATTTAAACTGCTCTTGTAGTCTATGCTGCTGCTACTAATCATAGAAGGTTGAATTTATTCAGTTACTTTCATGCATCCCAGTCCTCGTGCAAACTTTAGGTGAATCCTTTTACAAAAAGAATTTTCATGGTTAGTATTGGCCCTCCCAGTGTCTGTTTCGTGACATATGCATGCCTCT